ACCAACAAATTAGATAAGATAGAACTCGACGAGCACTACAAAACGATACTAATTGGATTACTGTATCTTGGCTATGAACAAAGTTACAAGCCATAAACCGTCTGAGCTACACGGCCGAGTTTTTGGCGTTTCTTAACTTATTTCATAGCCAAGATACAGTAATCCGAATAGCACCATTTCGTAGTGCTCGTCGTCGTTGATTCATCTGGGACGAAATGTGACCCAGTTGAGAGAGGCGTGTGAAATCCCTGGATCGGACACTGGGGACGCTGAATGAATGGATTCGAATTGTGATTCAGAAGGAGAAGACGATAACAAAATGGTGCTATTCGGATTACTGTATCTTGGTTATGAACAAAGTTACGCAACGCCAAAAACTCGGCCGTGGACGGTTTATGGCTCGTAACTTTACCCATCGACAAGGTACAGTAACCCAATTAGTATCGTTTTGTAGTGCTCGTCAAGTTCTACCGTATCTAATCTGGTTGGTTTGGAAATATTGATCCAAGATGGTTATTTTTCCCGAATTTCCAGCACCAATTCTTCCTCCAAAACCCTTACTCGACGCGGGTCCACCATCGATTTTCAGCTTGAAAATCGCGAAAACCTCCTCGATCATCCACAATTTTCGATACGAATTCAATCGAATCATAATCGAAATTACGCGTTTTTTCTTGTTTTTCTCCTTCAAATTCTCCTTTTCAACCCTCTCCAAATTCAGAATTTTTCGCTCTAATTTCGCCTCGTCCTCCACTTTTCTCTCCATTTTCTCATCGATTTCCGCGATTTTCCTACGGCCAGAACAGATTTTCGCAGCCAATTTCTCGATTTTCTCGCGAATCGTCTCGCAATTCACTTGTTTCTCCAGAATTTTCCTCGAGATTTCCTCAGAATTCAACAGATTGCTCATCGTTTCATCTGGCGCGTCTATGGAGTCCCTTAGAGAATCTCTGAGCTCCGTTGCTTCGTTTTCCACAATGATTGCCTTCTGAAGACGTCGCCATGAGGATTCGTCGAATTTCGCTGTGGAGCTTCCAAGGACCATCCAGAGCAGGGCTGAGCAATTTTTTGGAAAAATTTGAAAAAAAAATCAATTTTTCGAAAATTTCCCAGGCATTTCCTATCGCACAACCCTGTCTGAAAATGGGGTTTTTGAAAAATCATTTTTCAAAAAAAATTTTTTTTGAAAAAAAGTGAAAAATACAGCAAAACATAATCACAAAATCACAACAAACAGGGTGGTGCAACAAAGAAAAAACCGGGAAAAATTGGAAAAAAATCACGAAAATTCAAAAAAATTCGGATGGCCGAGTTTTGGGTTTCTAGGCCATCAAGGCGCAAAAATGATGATCTTGGGCTCAAAAACGCCGATTTTTGACTCATTTTTAATCGAATTTCAGGTCAAAAATGCAATTTTTGGCTCACTTTTCATCGAATTTCAGGTCATTTTGGGGTTATTTAAGCTTCAAAAATCGACATTTTCATCAAATTTTAGGTCAAAAATGCGATTTTTTGGCTTAAAACCCGAGGAAAACAGATTTTTAGCACATTTTTTCATGGAATTTCATCGAATTCCAAGACTTACACCAATAGTAGATGATTGGATCACGAGACGCATTCTCGTTGGCGATTTTGATGTAATGAGCAATGGGTTTGAATGCTGGCGGCAGTTGAGACGACATTCTGGAATTTTTGAGGGATTTTTAGGACAACAAAAGGAGGAAAATAGAGAAAAATCGGTTTAAAATTTGGGTGAAAAATAGGAGGGAATCGGTTGAAATTTAGAAAAATTGCCTAAAAATCATGAAAAATGGCTAAAAAATCATAAAAAATGGCTTAAAAATCATGGAAAATAGCTCAAAAATCATGCAAAATGGCTCAAAAATCATGAAAAAATTGGTGAAAAATCGGTTGAAATAGAGCTAAGACTAGGTGGAAATAGTGTGAAAAAATTGAAAAAATTTTGAAAATTTAACGAAAAATTGCTCAAAAAATAGTTTAAAAATCGAGAAATTTATTACTCTTGTCCGAAATCAATGCACGTTGCGGACGAGAAAACAACGGTGGGCGGAGCTTAGCTCCCACAGAGAGAACCTTACTGTATTTTTCAAATTATTGCACGCGCCTTTAATACAGTACCTCAACATTTATTGAATTTTTGTCTTTTTCTCTCATTTTTTGCTTGTTTCTGTCTAATTTTGTCTAATTCTTATAAATCTTCAATTTATTTTTCTTATAAAAAGAAAAAACAGCCAAATAGGGCCCAAAATAAAAAAAAAACGTCCGAGGTACGGTATTTAAAGGCGCATGCATCAATTTGTTTTTTCGCTGTGCGACCGACGATGCGATTTTGAGTAAATTTTCGGCATTGATTTCGGCCGCAACGTGCATTGACGAGAGTAATAGTTGAAAAAGAGATCAAAAATCGGTCAAAAAATATTGAAATTTTCAGAAAAAAAAGGAAAATTTTAATGAAAATTAGCAGAAATTATTGAAATTTCGAGAGAATTTTCAGCAAAAAAAAAAACGTAAAAATTCAGAATTTCAAGTCTGCAAATTCGCATTTTTCAGGCGAAAAATTCAAAATTTCAGGTTTAAAATTAGAAATTTCCAATTGGAAATTTAGAATTTCAGCGGAAAATTTAGATTTTTTGAGACAAAAATGGGGGGGGGGGGGGAAGTTCGCGAAAAATACAGAATTTTATACTTCAAAAATGAGACATTTTAAGGTCAAAAAATATAAAAAACAGCTAAAAGTGATTTTTTTTCATTATTTTTCAAAAGTAAAAATTAAAAAAAATTTTTTTTTCGAAAAATTCGATTTTTAAAGAAAAAAATAACAAAATTCCCATACTTCCAGAAAATCCCAATTTTTCGAAATTTCGAAAAATTCGAAAAATCCAAAAATTATCATTAAAAACCTCGATTTTCAGCAAATTTATCGACAATTTCCACGTCGAAAACCCTCCACAAAACAACAAAATAAAATCATTTTGCTTCTATTTTTTTATCTAAAAATTGTAAAAAGAGGAATAAATTGCCCTAAGAAACATTGCGAAAACCCCCAGAATGAGTCATCATCTCTTCATTGTGTGTCTGCGTCTCTCACCATTAGAGAGTATTTGTTTTGAAATCTCGAGAGATGAGGGAAAATCAAGAGAGGATTAGAGAGAAAAACGATGGAAAATCGGAAAATATCAAAAATCTGTCAAAAAGGAAAATGACAGTTCATTCCCATACTTCCAGAATCAATAAAGTTTTATCGGAAATTTATTTATCGAAAAAAAAAGAGAGAGAGAAGAGAATTAGAGAAAGAAGAGAAAAAATTGAAGCCAATTTTAGAGAATTTTGGGGGAAATTTGAAGTGAAAATAGAGGTTTTTAGAGGAAATTTCAGGGAAAAATGAATTGAAAATTTAGAATTTTCTGAATCGCGTTTTTCAAATCAAAATTTTGAATTTTTGAATCAAAAGTTAGCAAAATTCGGCTCGAAAATTGCATTTCTCAAATAAAAAATGTCAAACTTTCAGGGGAAAATTTTCGGTATTTCAGCAAAAAATGTCGAAATTTTGAGTTTGAAATTTCGGTCGAAAAATTCCAATTTTCGGCTGAAAATTCGTAATTTTGAGTACACAAAAATTGGGGGAATTTTGGCTGAAAATTCAGAATTTTCAGTAAAAAAAAGCTGGAACTTCAGCGATTTTACACCTTCTGCAATTCCAGGCTCAAAAATTCACAATTTTTAGCTGAAAATCCCAATTTTCAAACTTATAATTTCTGAAATTTTCAGCCAAAAACTCCAAATTTTTAAGTTAAAAATCGCAACATACTGCTTTTTCCCTCCTCAAATATCCACCAGAAAAACCACAAAAAACCCTTTCTACAAAAAAAATTTGATAAAAAATCTCAATTTCCAGATTTCTGACAATTTTTAAGAATTCATTTTTCTTGAAAATCAAAAATATCAAAAAAAATTGTATTTATTTTTTTTCAATTTTCAGTCATATATTGCCCAAAAATCGCTATTTTTTAGCAAAAAAACGTTCAAATTTAGATATTTTCAAATGGAAAAAATTACCAAAAATCACCCAAAAAAAGTCAAAATTTCCCTAATTTTGTTAATTTTTTATTCGTTATTTTTGAATTTCTACAAAAATCGGGTTATTCATAAATTTCTTAAAAACCACCAGTAATTAGAGTTATATTGTTCACTATTCAAAAAAATAGTGTGGGAAAATGAGAGAGAGGTTAGAGAAAAGGAAAACAGGGGAAAAAATAGAATCACATCGGAATTATATGGAAAAATCGAGAAAAAAAGAAAATCTAAACCAAGTATTTTTAGAAAAATAGCACTAACCAAAGAGAAAAAGAGCAATTTTAAAGGATCCCATAGAAGAAAAAAATATACATAAAATACAGGGAAATAGATCAAAAATTGGCTGAAAATTCTAGATTTTTTGGGACGAAAATTGACTGAAAATGCCATTTTTTGGCTCATTTTGGATCAATTTTGAATTCCAAAAATCATAAATTTTGGGTCAAGAATCATGTAATTTCAGTCAAAAATATGAATTTATGAGTCAAAGATTTCTGATTTTCAAGACATTTTCAGCCAATTTTAGGCAAAAAATGATCAATTTTCTAGTAAAATTTGGCTCATTTTTAACCATTTTTAACACAAAAAACATGAATTTTGTGATAAAAATATCAGATTTTCAAGCCATTTTCAACCAAATGTGTGTCGAAAATTCTAGTTTTTTGAGCCATTTCAGTCAATTTTCACCAATTTCGGCTCATTTCGGGTCAAAAAATACATATTTTCAGCCAAAAATTGAAGAAATTATAGATTTTTAGATCGAAATACTCAATTTTTCAACCAATTTCAACCAATTTCCAAGCCTGAAAATTGGCTGAAAATTCTAGATTTTTTGGGATTAAAATTGACTGAAAATACCATTTTTGGCTCATTTTGGACCATTTTTTGGCCAAAAAATCATAAGTTTTGGGTCAAAATTCACAAAATTTCCAGCCATTTTCAACCAATTTCAAGGTCGAAAACAGTGGATTTTTGTGTAAATTTCAGAGCTCATTTTAAACCGTTTTCATCCCAAAAATCATCATTTTTGAATCGAAATTTACAGAATTTTGGTTTTGAAACTTCAATTTTTAGAGTCATTTCCACCAATTTTGGAGGTTGAAAAATTCGATATTTTCCAGAAATTTCAGCCAATTTTAGACAAAAAAAAGGTTTATTTTCTAGTGAAATTTGGCTCATATTGAAGCATTTTTAACCCAAAAACACTAATCTAAAATTTCAGATTTTCAAGCTATTTCAGCCAATTTTGGGTCAAAAATCTAGAATTTTCAAGCTATTTCAGCCAATTTTTACCAATTTTGGCTCATTTTGGGTCTAAAAATACATATTTTCAGTCAAAAATCTCGAATTTTACAGTCATTTTAAGCCAATTTTTTGTCGAAAATCATGAATTTTAAACCAATTTCAGCCTATTTTTGGCTCATTTCGAACCATTCAAACTCCCTAAAATCAATGAATTTCGGGTGTATAAGTGAGAACAATGAAGAATAACCACAAGTGCATCATGATAAAATACAAGACGAAGAAAAGACGAGCCGACGGATGGCCACGGAGCATTGAGAGCAGTTTGAAGGCGGTTGAGTCGACTGTTTGAAGGGCGTTTCGCGTTTGCGGATGATTGATATTCGATAAAAGTGGATGGGAAGAGGAGGTGTGCATTGGGGAGGAGTTGGGGTTGTCGATTGGGATAGACGTCTCACGGTTGGTGGCTTTCTGAAAGAATCGAAGGATCGTAGAACCAGGGCTTGATATTCGAAATTTGAGAAGCTAAGACTCTTGAAACTTCTGCATTTCTGGATTTTGAGGATAAAGAAATTTGAAATAAGTTGAAGGATCAAAGGATCGGAGGATCAGGGAATCAAAGAACCTGTAGAGCTGATATTTTAGGAATTTCTAAATTACGCAATCTCAAAATCTTGAATTTCAGAATTCCATATTTCCGGGATCCTAGAATCTTTTTTTTAGAACTTCAGAATCTTAGAATCTGTGATTCATGGATTTCCTGATTTCCAGAATCTCCAAATTCCGTCGATTTCAGAATCTTAGAATCTGAGAACCTAAGATTCTCAAACCTTAAAACTTCTGAATCTCCGAATCTCAGAATTCCAGAATTTTAAAACCCCTGAATGTTGGAAATTCAGAATCTCACATTTTCTAATCTTCAAACTTCAGAATTTTGGAATATGCGATTTTCTGAAACGTTCAGATTCTGTTTACAGAATCTCAAAGTTCCTGAATTTCAAATTTTTAAAATCTTGAAAGTTCAGAAATTCGATGGTTCTGAATTTCAGAATCACAAAAATCTCGCGCTCCAGAGTTTCTTGCATCTCCGAATCCCCTATTTTCAGATTCTCACGATCTCCAACGTTCAAATTCTTAAAACCTCGGAATTTCAGAATCTCAGAATCTGAAAATATCGAGATCCCAACATTTTAGAATCTCGGAATTTCAGCATCGAAGAATCTCAGAATTTTGGAATCTCAGGATATTGGGATTTCAGGATTTCAGAACCTGACACTATCGGGATCCCAAAACTTCAGAATCTCAAAACCTCAGACTTCAAAATCTTAAGAACTAAAGTTTTCAGAATCTCAGAACTTCCGAATATCGAAATCTTCGCAATCCAAAAAAGGAACCCTACTTGAAGTCGTTCCAACCGAACATTCAACACTTGATTCGTCCTCAACACATCCTCCAACTGCTGCTGCTTCTGTAGCAACATATCCGACAACTGTGTCGTCGTTCCATCATCCTCCTGTTTCGATTGCTCATCCCTCATTCGTGCTCTCATCTCACTCATTACCTTCCGCAGCTCATTCTCCTTTTCGACTAGTTTCGCCTGATGCTGATCTCCTAGCCTCTTCATTTCTTGTTTCGTGAATTCGTTCTCGATTCTCGAACATTCCACTTTCTCATTCAGAAGGCCTATCGTACTGTCCCACGTCTGTTTCTCCTCGAGATGCGTTCGTTTTTGGTCGGATAGCTGCGATTGGAGATCTCTGCAAAACTCGAAAAGTTGACATTGAAAGCATGAAAAATGGCTCAAAAATCATGAAAAATGCTCCTACTCTGTCCTGAAAACTGTCAAAAAAGACACAGAAATTAGGTATTTTTTCTGGCTAATTTCTAGATTTTTGCACATTTTCTGCTCAATTTTAGCCGATTTGTTAGCCGGTTTTTCGCTGATTTCTACTAAATTATAGTTGGATTCTTCTCATTTTTTGATAATTTTCAGCTCATTTTTTGTTGATTTACTCCCAATTTTCAGCCTTTAATTAGGCTTAATTTCACTCGATTTCACTCGATTTCTGATTTTTTTTTCCATATTTTAAGCCTAATTTTAATCCCATTGTGTATTTTTCAGCCAATTTTGCTCAATTTTAGCTGATTTTTGTTAACCAAAGTATCACTATTTTTAGCTGTTTTCTGCTCGTTTTAGCATATTTTTAAAAACAATTTTAGAGGTCTCTGCAAAATTCGAAAAATGAATTATTCGTAGAAATCGGCATATTTTCTGACAAATTTCGAGATTTTGGGACGATTTTTTGTTCAATTTTCGCTCATTGTTAGCCAATTTTTTCCTCAAAATTTCAGGCGATTTTCACAAAATCATTGGTGAACTTTGCTCAATTTTAGTTGATTTTTCACTCAATTTCAGGCAATTTTTTGACCATGTTTTGCTAGTTTCAGTCGAATTTTCTGCCGGTTTTTTCGCTGAATTATACTAACTTCTAGCAGATTTTGACACGATTTTCAGCCGGATTTTTGGCTGATTTTTACAGATTTTTTGACGAACTATGCCGATTTTTTGCTCAATTTCGCTTAATTTTCTCTCAATTTCAGTGGATTTTTAGCTAATTTTTTTGTAGATTTCTCCCAATTTTCAGCGTTTTTTTAGCCTAATTTTAATCCCATAGTGTATTTTTCAGCTACTTTTGCTCAATTTTAGCTGATTTTTTAAACCAATGTATCACCATTTTTAGCCGTTTTCAGCTCGTTTTTAGCTATTTTTTGCATGTTTTTTTTCACAATTTTTAGCCGTTTTCTACTCGTTTTTAGCTATTTTTAGCCTAATTTCAGCCGTATTTTCGCTTATTTTCAGCCGTTTTCTTTTTGATTTTAGCCTAATTTCGCTCAATTCTTTCGATTTTTCACTCAATTTCACCTTATATGCGCTTCCAGCTCTTCCATATCCGACCGGAGCGTATAAACTTGAAGTTGTGCGGATTCTAGATCCGCTTTTGTCAAATCTCGTTCCACTCGGATCTCCTCAACTTCGGCTTGCAGAAGATGGACCGGTCGGTCGCTGGAGCCGATTCCTTGCTGAAAATAGGGAATTTTAGGGTCAATTTTGGTGGATTTTCTAATCAAAAACCGAAATTTCTCCTAATTTTTGGATCAAAATCGGGGAGTTTTTGAACCAATTTTGGCTCAAAAAGTGACAAAAACCACTGATTTCCGATCAGAATTTATCATTTTTTGTGATTTTCAGAGTCAATTTTCAGAGTCATTTTCAGCCTTAAAACCTCGAAGTTTTCGCGATTTTCAGAAAAAAGCCCCACCTCCGACTTCAACGACTCCACCAACTTCTCCTTGGCCGTCAGAATCTTCTGCGCCTTATTCTTGTACTCGTCAAACTCCTTTTTATTCTCGTTCAAATTGAATTTCGCTAATCTCAATTGCTCAACCATCGCTCGGATTTCTTCCTCGAGCCCGACGATTTTGCGCTTATGAAGGTTGCACTCCTCAACGGCTTTGTCTTTTTGGTCCTGGGCTTTTTGTCTGGAAAATGGGATGATTTTTAGACTAATTCTAGACGATTTCTAGGCAGTATAGGCCTGAAAAATTCAGAGGAAATAGTAGGATTTTTAGGCTAATTCCAGGTTTTTCAGCTAGTTTTTAGGCCTAAGAAATTGGGAAAAAATCGAGATTTTAGCTCATTTTTCTGTTTTTTTTCCGGTCAATTGTGGGGCAAGATTTTTACTATTTTCTGTAAAATGCTCCAAAAATTATGAAAAATGTCTTAAAAATCATGAATAATGGCTTAAGAACCATGAAAAATGGCTTAAAAATCATGAATAATGGCTTAAAAACCATGAAAAATGGCTCAAAAATCATGAAAAATGGCTTAAAAATCATGAAAAATGGCACAAAAATCATGAAAAATAGCTCAAAAATTATGAAAAATGGCCTAAAAATCATGAAAAATGGCTCAAAAATCATGAAAAATGGCTTAAAAATCATGAAAAATGGCACAAAAATCATGAAAAATAGCTCAAAAATTATGAAAAATGGCCTAAAAATCATGAAAAATGGCACAAAAATCATGAAAAATGGCTCCAAAACTCATTTTACCTCGCCAATTTCAATTCCTGCAGACTATCCATCTCCTGACTCGACACTTTCTGATTCTCCACTCGTTTCTCCAACATCTCCTTTTCCGCCTTCATCTCATAGTAATCCTGACTTCGTTTCTCCAATTTTCGCTCACTATCAGCGAGTTTTGTCTTTAAAACCGAGATTTGTGAATCCTTGGCGAATAGCTGCGATTTGAAGTTTGGACTCGAATCGGTGCCGGCGAATTCAGCTGAAAAATCGATTTTTGACGTTTTTGGGGCTATTCTGGTCAATTTTGGGTCATTTTCACAAGATTTTCAGTTGATTTTGGACCAGTTTTCATGAAATTTAGCCCAATTTTCATGAGTTTTAGACTATTTTTAATGAATTTTGGACCATTTTTCATGAATTTTGGACCATTTTTCATACATTTTTGACAAAATTCTGGCGGTTTTATGTCAATTTTGAACCGTTCTTCAGCATTTTCGGTCAGATTTTGACAGTTTTCAGTTTTGGAATATTTTTGCTGAATTTTGGACCATTTTTCATGAATTTTGGACTATTGTTCAGAAATTTTTGATTGTTTTTCATAGATTTTAGCCCATTTTCATGTGTTTTGAACATTTTTTCATGAATTTTGAATCTTTTTTTATAGATTTTTGGCTATTATAGCCAATTTTAAGTCATTTTTAGCTATTTTCATCTCCTCTTAGCCACTCACATGTAGTTCTCATGCTTGCCACACTTCTTCCTCCAACACTTCTCATATCATCTTCCCGCTGAGCCGACTTCACTTCTTTCGAATTCAAAACCATCGTCCAGCTTTCAGAAGCCGCTGCGCCACCGCCGGGCTGTTGAGATGAGCTGCCTCTGAGAATTTGACAGATTTTCGGCGGGAAATTTGAAATTTTTCACCAATCAAACTACGAAAACTCACTGCTCAAAGCCTCTTCCCCGCCAACCAGCTCCGGTATAATCACTTTGAGCCCTAGACGGTATAGATGGAGCCGGCCGCCCGAAATCTTCGGTTATCACATGTTCTGGCATGGAAATCACGGTGGCTGGGATACTGGCGGCGCTTCCCTGACGGGTGCGCGGCTTATTGGTGTCGCGTGCTTGTTGGATGGCATCTCCGGTCTGGAAAAACCAAGAAATTGAAAAAAATTCAAAAAATTGATTTTTTTTCCACAAAAATTTCAAAAAATACCTTTTCATCAAGCTTATTAAGCAAGTTCTCCGCCGCTCCCGCAATATCTGACACTTTAGACAACCATGACATTCGTTTTGCTGAAAACAATTGATGAAATTTTAGGTTAAATACAACAAGAAACGAGGAATTTCGATCATTTTTTCAGATTCTCCCAATTTTCAACTATATTTTTCTATTTTTCCGGGAATAAATCCCCGGAAAAATCGATTATGAAACCCTAGAAAAAGAACCAGAATTCCGCAAGGAACGTGGATTCGCCAAGTTCGGCCAGCGGAGAAACTTCGGCCAGATGGAATTCGGCCACCTGCATTGCATTTTAATAGTCTAAATTAGAAACATATTTCGTTTTTTTTAATATGAAATTGTACATAAAATTAAAGCTAAGATTTTGATCTACATTTTGATATAAAATTCAAAAAGAAAAAAATTGTTCCAAAGCTGTGCTCAACTTTAGAACATTGGTTATCAATGGAGCGCGCTTGCCGAGACCATAGTTAGTCCCCGAACTCAGCGAATAAAATTTATATGAAATTCGGTTGTTTTTCTTGATGGAAACCGGTTTTTTGTTGTTTTTTGCGAAATTTCTGTTTTCAAAAATTGTTTGTATTTTTTCAGAGATGTCATACGGCCCCCAACTACCCGCCTGGCTCACCCAGAATCAAGAAAAAGTGAATTTTTCGAAAAAAAAAATAAAATTGAATAAATTTTTTTTAGGAAACAAAAGAGAAGGAAGAGGAAAAAGAAGAAGAAAAAGATGCTTGGATCACTTACGGACCAGTAATTCCGAGTCAAAAATCCGAGGAAAAAGATGAAAAAGTAGAGACTTATGGTCCAGAGATTCCGAAAATTGGCGGAATTTCAAATTTGGAAGAAGAAAAAGAAGAGGAAAAAGAAGAAGAGAACGACGACGAAGATGAAGATGTAAAAATTTTAGACATTGAAATTGAAAAATTTTAGAAAAATTCAAAAATTTCAAAAACAATTTTTTTTCAAAAATTTCAGATTTTTTTGTTTTTTAGCTCATTTTTTCCCTATTTTCCATTTTCAGTACGCCGGCGCCAGCTACGGACCATCGATTCCATCAAATTTCCGTCAAAACTATGGTCCAGCTCTTCCGGGAGCCTCAGGAGCCGCCCAAGACGATTCTGACGATGAAATTGTGAGTTTTGGCTATTTTGAAGCTAATAGATAGTTTGAGACTTATAAAATTGATTCCAAAGCTCTAAAAATGGTTCTAGACCCCCCAAAATGGTTTAAGAGCTCTGAAATTAATTCAACAGCTTAGAAAAATGGTTTCAGACCTTTCAAATGGTTCTAAAGTTATAAAAATGACCTAAAATAGAATATTTGCAGGGTCCAATGCCAGTGGCTGCCGGAGACGAGGACAAGGAAGCGATGGCGAGAGCCTACAGGATGGTGATGCAGAAAGAGCAAGAGGATGAGGAAAAGGTGACCTTAGCTCGATTTTGAGCTGAAAAACACCATTTTTAGTCTATTTTTAGCTAGAAAGTTGTCATTCTAAGCTCATTTTCACCCTAAAACTGAAGATTTTTGCTTAATTTTGACCTCAGAATCGCCATTTTTAACCCATTTTTGACCTTAAAATTGCCATTTTCAGCCTATTTTGACCTCAGAATCCCCATTTTTAGCCTATTTTCACCCCAAAAATTGTTCCAGAATTCGCAACCAAAACGAGAGGAATGGATGACATCCGTCCCAAAAAAACTCGGAAATTTCGGACTTGGTGCGCGGACATTCAAAAAAGGAACAGCTTCAGAGAGGGATTCGACGTGGGAAGATGCTCCGGGAGCAAAAAAGAAGCGGCGGGAGGAGATGAAGACGGCGAAATCGGTGGGAGCGGCGATGGCCGATGCTCGGCAAGAGGCGATTGTTGTTGGAAAGATACAGGGACCGTCGTTGTTGGAGTTACATCAGAAGCAGCGAGAGGAGAAGGTTACGGATGCGGTTAGTGGGGATTTTGAGCTTGTTTGGGTCATTTTTTATGAATTTTGAGCCATTGTTAATAATTTTTTAGCCTTTTTTCCCGATTTTTGGACCATTTTTCATTAATTTTGGACCATTTTTTCATGAAATTTGGACCATTTTTCATAAATTTTGGGTCATTTTTCGTAAATTTTGGACCAATTTTCATGAAATTTGGACCATTCTTTATAAATTTTGGACCATTTTTCATGAATTTTGGGTCATTTGTCATGAATTTTGACTCGTTTTCATAAATTTTGGACCTCTTTCATTCTAGAAATCATAAAAACGGACCCTTCCACGCATCCCTTTAGGTTCAATAGTTTTGGATTAACTAAATTGGAAAGATAGAAGAACTCAAGAGCTACAAATCAAACAATTTGTACTACTGTATATCTAAATCAGTTGGTCCAAAAATATCAATCCTGAATCCAAGGGCCTCGAAAATGATCAAATAACCATTTAAAATTTTCCGAAACCTATTAAAAATGGTCCGGAATTCATGAAAAATGGACTAAAATTCGTGAAAAACGATCCTAATCTGTCCCAGCTTTTCCAAATTCATCAAAAATCAATATTTCTAGGGCTACACACCCGGCGAACGTCGTCCATTCGATCGTGAGAAGGACATGGAAGTACGTGGATTGAAGCCTGGAGGAAGCAAGGATGCAGTGGAGAAGATGAAAGAGCTGCAGGGACGATTCGCCAATAGCAAGGAGAAGAAGTTCTTGTGAATAATCTTATTTTGTATTATTTTTTTTTTCTTGGTTTGTTATTTTAAAAACTCAATTTTACTGTCTAAAATTGAACTTTTTTCCCAATCGCGCAAAATGTTTTTGACGATTTCTGAATTTCCGAAATTCTGAATTCCCGATTTCCAGAACTTCTGGACCCCAATAGTGTGGAATTTCTGAATTTCAGAAATACTGAATTTCCGATTTTCTGAGTTTTCGAATTGCTGAATTCCTGTAATTTTTGAATTTCCTGAATTTCTCAACTTCCGAAATTCGGCATTTTTGATTTTTCGGAGTTTCTGAGTTTTTTGTATTTTTAAACTAGGGTTGGCTTGGGGGTCTGAA